TATCATCCAGCATATTGGCTGTGATATACAAATGAGCATTTGATATATCAAGCGTGGTAGTGCAGGTTGTGTAGTGTTTCACTAAATCAGCACAGATGATACCGCGTCTGCACAGCTGTGTCCAAAGCAGTGGCATAAATTAACAGCTTTCACTACTGACAAAGATACATCCATTAACATGATTTTTTATATCTTACGAACACTCTAACGCGCATATGGAGAAATAAATGTGCACCAATACAATATTACCATTTAAATCTGCTTTAAAATGTGAATAGATATTTGATATTACAGTCAGATGAGGAATTGTTATGCTGTGTAGAATGAATCGTGAATCATCATTTAACATGCATTGAAACTGTTTCTCATAAAATCATACAAAAGGCCTTGAATTAATTCAGCTGCAGTACATTTAAAGAACATTTCTCTTTTCAATAAATTAATATGCAATGAGTTAATGTCAACATGAAATGCTGTTCACAACCCATAATGTGATGCATTTCAGAATGAAAAAGGATATTCTAGAACAAGAAAAAATTAGGGGCTTGGTTTTATGCATTTAGAATTTAATTATATTTGTTTTACACAAAGATTCCATTCATATTTTTTTAATCTACAAAATTGAATTGTTTCTGTTTTGTTCTGTTTATTTTTTTTCTTTGATGTGATTTAATTTCAAAGTAATCTGAATTATTAATAAATGTCAGATAAAAACTGAAAAAGTGGGTGTTCTAAAACTTTTAAATGGTAGTGTATTTAAAAAAGTAAATAGTAAATTTTTACATTCTATTGATTTTTTTTAATTAGAAATATATCTAATACCTAGCACATTGTGGCACATTCCTAGTAGCTGTAGAATATGGAAGCTATAGAATATGTAAATAATAAGTGTCTTCAGGAATGAGGTGTCTTGATCTTGACTATGCGGTATATAAAGAGATGGGAGAAATTCCCTACACAAACAGACTCCAGTCGTCTTTTCAGTGTCTTTCTCCTCCTTTTCTCAGAGTTTTAAAATGCGGCACAGCCAAAGGGAGGAACAAACTCAGAATTATGTATACAGGGCTGTTCTGAAACTTTTTTTTTTTTGTTTGTTTGTAGCAAGATCAACTCAAAGACAGCTTTGAAGCTGAATTGGACTGGGATTTATGCACTGATCCAGGGGAAAGCGCTACATTTTGACTGTGAATGGTACTCTGCAGGGGAACAACCGTTACCCAAGACCTGCTATTATAATATTCCATACAGACACTGAGATATAACGGTGCTCATTAAAGATCCTCTTTGTTTTGCGCAGGAATACTAAAATATCCAATACCTATGTATTGATTGTTATGGAACAGATGCAAAAATCATGCAAAAAAAAAAAAAAAAGACTAAACTGTAATGGGTAGATGAAAAAGTTTGCAAGTTTGCACCCTCAATTGTTCTTGGACCCAAAAGCTGAACATAAAAAAAAAGTACTAAGAGAAGCAGATATGGACTACAAACTACTAGTATTTCCAGAAATAACAATGACTGCCTGAAGTGTAGTATCTTTCGGTGTTATAAAAATATGACACTGAAACTTAAAAGCGAGTGTATAAGACCAAACCTTGGTGGTAGTATTTGCGAAAGCAACCACTGTTTCAACAACAAAAACTTTGTTAACATAAGCTAATGCAAATAGAATTTAATCTATTTTACAAATTCTACCCAGTGTATTTCACAGACATCTCCTCAGCATCACTCCTAATGACCTGTGGCGGTGAGGGAGCTTGCACCCAACGAGTCTTCCCATAATTCTGATAGTGTCTGTGTTTGTGATTTCCCTCAGGCTAGCAATGATGCACAGCTCACCTTATCCTGACAAGCCTGACAGAGCTAAATAAAGGGGTGGAGATGGAAGAAAACTCTAAAAACCTTTGAGCAAACATATCAGAGACCCCAAAATCTTAACCTTGTCTGACATGCTCCTCTGAATTACTCATTCAGAGGAGCACTCAGAGTAACGGTGTATAAAGACTGATTTGAGCTCAAATGATAGCTCCAAACATGTCTATAACAAAGAGCCATTGAAAAGCATAATGATCCTGAAGTGTGTTTTATTTCACAAAAATATCAAGCTAAATGCATGGACTGCTATTAGAGCCTAAACAATCAGACCATTCTTGGATCTGGAAATTTCCTGTAATTCACCAAAAAGATTGAATCGATAAATAGCAAACAAACAAACTCTAATTAATAAATACCTCTAGACCATTTTCCTTTTATCTTTTATCAATAGAGTGATAAAACTGGCAGGATGTGAAAAGCACTCTTATGCATTGTGGTTCCTATACAAGCAATTTTATGATAAATCCAGAGAACAATATGTCTGCATGGAAAAATCGTTTCCATTTCTGTCAGTTCAAAAGAACATCTAGAATACTCAAACTAAATTAGAGGATACATTAAAAGGAATAGAATCAGACATCAAACAAGACCTAACAATGGATGTTTTCTTTTCTCTTAGAAGCAGAACCATTCCTATGTTTTTAGAATAAAAACTAATACTATATAAACAATTACAACAGTTTTTATTTAGCTTGATCTTTTAACAGCATTTCTTCAGGCTTTAAATCAAAGGTCTATAATGGCTATAATACTCTTGTTGTTCACAATAACAATTCCACAATCTGTAGTTCTTGATAAGTCTGCTAATTCTGCAGCCATTTTAATTTTTGTCTTTTATCTAGGACGCCTGATTGCATATCTTTTACAATGCAGTCCTTAAGTAGTACCATGGGACACAGGTAGAAAGATAGATCAATGGGGTTTCACTTTCTTTTGTACTCTTTGCCCTTGCTAGGGGGCAATCTTTGGCAAACTTTGCAATCAAAACAATAGAATGACAGAATTATAGAATGATAGACTGATAGACAGACAGACGGACAGGCCGACCGACTGATAGAACAACAGACAGACAGACAGACAGACAGATAGATAGATAGATAGATAGATAGATAGATAGATAGACACATAGACAGATAGATAGATAGACAGATAGATAGATAGATAGACCAAAAGATGATAGATACTAGAACAAGACAGATAGATAGACAGACAGACAGACAGACAGACAAAGATGATGGATACTAGAACACTAGATAGAAAAACAAGACAGACAGACAGTCAGATAGACAGAGACACAGACAGACAGACAGACAGACAGACAGACAGATAGATAGATAGATAGATAGACAGATAGATAGATAGATAGCCCAAAAGATGATAGATACTAGAACAAGACAGATAGACAGACAGACAGACAGACAGACAGAGACAGACAGGTTAACCGACTGATAGATAGATAGATAGATAGATAGATAGACAGATAGATAGATAAAAATATGATAGATACTAGAACAAGACAGATAGATAGACAGACAGACAGACAGACAGACAGATTGACTGATAAACAGACAAAAAGATGGTGGATACTAGAACACTAGATAGAAAAACAAGACAGACAGACAGACAGATAGACAGAGACACAGACAGATAGAGACAGACAGGTTAACCGACTGATAGATAGATAGATAGATAGATAAGATAGAAAGATAGAAAGATAGATAAGATAGATAAGATAGATAGATATATAAGATAGATAGATAGACAGACAGATTGACTGACAGATAAACAGACAAAAAAGATGATAGATACTAGAACACTAGATAAAAAAAGACAGACAGACAGACAGCTTCTCTCAAGCTTTCCCTCTGTCCTTCCTTTTCATTTTTGCTGCGGCGTGTTCTTTTTTTCTTACTCAGTCCTGCCACTTATAGCCTCAGGTGAAAGCTACGGTACTTCAAAGGGCCTTTTACTGGCAAAAGGAGATCAAAAGAGGTGAGGCCGGCAGTGAGAGGACAGATATAGAAGAGATGAAGAATGAAGAGAGGACAGAATGACAAAGAGAAGGGAGAGAGCTCATATGGTTCGTGATGAGGAGGGCTCGCTCTAACTAGCAGGATGGAGCGGTAATAATGGCAGAGCACATGATCACAGCGACGCACCGAGTTTCATACTGTGAGTTTCATACACGCTCAGCGGACACGACGAATCACAGGAGCCTGTTTAAATTCTCCTGATCTGAACAAGCGTGGCACAGCTTACACTGAGATCACATAACAAATGCAAATGTGTACACACCACATCTACAGCAAAGAAGGTTGAGGGAATTTACAAAGGAGGGATAGAGGAAGAGTGTGAAAAAATGTGCTCAAGCACACACAACTGATTTTTTATTTTAAAACATTAGCTTTCCTGTAGCTCAAACATTTGTGGAGCTATAAGCACCAAGGTCCTGGGTTTGATTCCCAGGGAGATCAAGAACTGAAAAAATGTGCAGCTTGAATGCAATGTAAGTCACTTTGGATAAAAGCATCTGTCAAATACATAAATGCAAATATCTGTGTATTTTTGCATTAACTTATTGATAAGGTAATGAGGCTTCAAGGAAAGTTAAAAGTTACATTAAAGTAATGATCTGTCACAAGTCTCTAATAATGTTTTTAGAGGTAGTGGCTCCAAGTACTTGGTCAATCATGTAGTTGGGCAGCAAGATGAATGTCTGCACAGATGGCCAAACTCTCTCGTGCAGAGCTGTGTGCTCACATGTCAAACATAACTGAGAACACAGCAAATATACTGGAAGCAGGACAAAGAACGGTAAGACAAGAATAACCACACTGAGACATGTCTAAGTGACAGGGGTCATGCTATCCTGCTCGTCCAAGGCTTTGATTAGTTTGTGCTGTCATCGCAAACTACCCTGTCAGAATCCAATAAGAATGTTTGTGTATGTGTTTGTAATTTGTAATTATATAAATTAGAACGGTGCACATGAGCTTCCCCTTTGTGCCAGTGATGCTCCCTCGACACAACCTTTAGAGACAAATCACAGTTAAAGACTACCCAACAGTCTCTGCAGCATTATATGACCAAAGGAAGACTGAGGACCATAGTCATACTTTACCAACCTTATGCTCTGCGTTTGTAGGTAGTCTGGGTCAGTAGCGTTCAGCATGGCAACAAAGCTTCCAACGGGAATATTTTCTCTCCTGATGACAACCAGAGGATCTGGGAAGAACACCGGTCCTTCATTCACATCCATAACTGTAATGTAAACTGTCGCTGTAGAGCTGGGGCCATACACAATGTCAGGAACCAGAGGGTCTTCGTTTTCCACTTTTATCAGCAGTGTGTGAAACATTGAACTTTCATAGTCCAGAGGCTGAGAAAGACAAAAGGAATTATGTAAGAGTAATTAGCTAACAAATACCAGACGACTGACTCTTTACCATTATTTTTCAATTAGTACATTTTTTCTTGTCAAAAGCAACGTATGGCATATTTTTAAAACAGGAACAAGAGTAGGGGCATCCAATCCTCCTCCTGAAGGGTTGCTTTCCTGCAGAGTTTAGCTCTAAGATACCTGCCTTGAGGTTTCTAGTAATCATGAAGACCTTGAATCAGGAATCCTCGAATTTGGTCCACGAGATCCACTTTCCTGCAGAGTTTAGATCTACCCCTAATTCTTGATTAGCTGCTTCAGGTGTGTTTAATTAGGGTTGGAGCTAAACTCTGCAGGACATCGGCCTTCCAGGACCGAGTTTGGGCACCCCTGCTCTACAGGATGTTGGCCTTCCAGGACCAGGATTGGACACCCCTGCTCTACAGAAAGTGGACCCTTTAGGACAGGGGTGTCCAAACTTGGTCCTGAAGGGCACTGTCCTACAGAGTTTAGCTCCAACTTGCCTCAACCCACCTGCCTGAAAGATTCTAGTGTGCCTAGTAAGACCTTGAACAGCTGGTTCATGTGTGTTTAACTGGGGTTGGAGCTAAACTCTACAGAAGAGGTCTTCATCCCTGCTCCTCGGGACCCACCGTCCTGCAAAATTTCCAAACTGCTTCAGCACACCTGCCTGTGTATTCTTCAAGTGATCCTGAAAAGTTTAATTAGCTGGTTCATGTGTGTTTGATTAGGGTTGGAGCTGTACTCTGCATGATGGTGGGTCACCAGGAGCAGGGTTGAAGACCTCTGCTCTACAGGACAGTGGCCCTCCAGGAGCAGTATTGGGCATCCCTACCCTAAAACAACCACTTTACCTCTGCAGTTAATTGGCTTACTTGCAAATCCTATATTAGCGGCTCACGAAGGTCCCCTTTTTGGGCTTGAACTTTTAAAGTTTTAGTTAACAATCAACACTTAGTAAGCAGTTTGTAGGGTCTCAATTGATAACCTAAACTTTATAGGTTCAAGCCACATAAGGCAATCTTAATGCCTTCACCATTAAAAGGCAATCAAGTAACTGAAAAATACATTGCGCACCTTTACCACTGACAGCATCCCTTCATTGTTGTCCAGGTTGGTCTGTATCTCAAAGTTCTGGTTGGGATCTCCATTGATGATGGAGTAGATGGCTCTCCAGGCTCCAGTGGCGGGGTCGTCTCTGTCATCCACTGTCAGGTTCACTACCACCCCAGTTGATCCCTCATTCACTGATGCCTGGAACTACAGCACAGGTAGTTTGATCGGTCAAACATTTCCAAATGTTTGAAAACCAAGAAATCACATTACAGCAATACTTTAGAATTCATCATATTACATGTAAATCGACATGAATTTGCAGTCTGTAATCAACATCAATAATTCCAGTCTCTTCAAATAATAAGACAGAATAAGCAGTGGAGGAGTTGCTGGTTGTAGAAATGGATTCATTTAACTGGAAATGAATGCTTTGACTAGATCTTCACAATTGTGGCTCTTATGTTTACAGAGATTAACACAACCAGTGGGACAGGCGGCTATTGTTTTCAGCTAACCGCGCACCACCTTGTGTAATCAAAGAAGCGCTGATCTACCTACGGCTGCATCAATACAATCCCTGTTTAGTCTATCCTTCCTTGTTTTGTACATGAAGAATCTCTGTCTTACATCCACCTCTCTCCTACCCTTCTTTCTGTCCCTCTGTCAAAGATAAGGCTTAAGCTAAGCCTATATGAAACAGCTCTTGTTCTGTTTTGTCACTGGAGGATAGCCACTCTATTCAGAGTGCTGGAAATCTCCATAGTCCTTGCTCAATCCAACCCAATGTCACAGGCCTGTTTGGGGAGATGAAGTGTTCCTAGAAAGGCCAGATGAGCTTTTGTCCCCATCAGCTCTGCTATCATTTTTGTTTAGTGGCTTGTGAAGTGAGCACCCCCTCTATGCCTCAGGGATGCACTCCCTTTATAAGAGCTGTCCAGAGGGGAGGGTATAGGGGGAGAGATGCAAAGGTCATCAGCATCCTGAAGAGGGTGCTGCTGGATCTGGGTGGCTGTATGAATTAAAGAAGTTTAGAAAGCGAAGCTAAGTAGTTTAAACCCCCATGGAACTGAAGTACTGCCGCTAGGCCCTGTCTCTAAATTAATGCTTATTGCTTTTGAGCCACAGTAGTGAATCATCCAGTATTAACAGTAAAGAAAATCCTTAATGTCATGAAGGCACATCTACGTTGACAACATTCACGCTTAGTTTCTCACTTTTTCACATTACGTGTGAAAATGTTCTGCTACCACAATCTGCTGTAGACATATCAGGCAGTAGATGCAGGTGGTGACTTCTAGCCTCATTCATTTTATTACACCTGAAAATAAAGATTTTTCATTTCTAAGGCCCATCTCCCAAGAATATCTTATTTAGTAATATAAGAACCGGGTGATTTTGTTCCTTACAAGAGAGAGAAGGAAAAAAAAAACTTCTGGAGTCAGCCTTACATATAAGCCATGGTTCATCCTGTCTTGAAAATAGATCTCCATTTCATTTTTTCATTTCTGAAACACAAGCCCAGCTCACCGTGTCCTTAAAACCTGTGGGTGTCTCGAAGGAGATGAGATTGCACCTGTCTGCTGAAGGCCACGAAGCGATTACATCACTTACATATTACTTCAGCTCCAATGAGAGCCTTGTGTCTACAGTGAGCCCTGCAGGTGTATCACTGTCAAAATCACAGTGGCGAGAGATACTCTCCCGCTATCAACCAAGATTTTATCATGTGTGGAATAAACAATTAAACAAAGGTTGTCACAAATGTTTACTGAGGGACATGAATATGTCCACACAGCTCCACGCTGTGCATCTTCACATCGCTGATCGGTCGTTTTTCATTTAATCATCTGGGGCAGTGAAGCGGTCAGATGGATGTATTCAATCTTTGTTGGCTGCTGATACCCTGGCCCTGCCACACCACTGATAAGACCCCAATCCCTCTGAGTTCACAAAGCAACCAGCAGTGTGACAAACAGAGAAGTTATCAACCCCGATGCTAGACCCCAAAACTGAGGGAACGGGGTGGGTTTGTGTGTGTGAGGTAGATGTCGCCTAGTCAAAGCCCCCCAGCACCAGAACACAGGGAAAGTGAGGAAGGGAGAAAGCATGTGGCCAGAGAAAGATAAATCACTTTCTACAGAGGCACTGATGTGGTGAGACCAGGAAGCCATGAATGACTGGGATTATTTGGCATGCAATTCATGATCAGTAATGTAGTGCAGTGTGAAGGCATCATTGGAGATTCGTTTTGAGCTGTGCTACTGCTTTAGTAACAAATAGGTCAGAAAATTCACACCTGATACTGTAAACCCACCCTCTCCACCCCCCTTCGTCTCGACATCTGTTCGTGGAATCAAATCAATATTCATGACCTTTCGAGAAACTCGAAAGAAACTGCCTGACTTACACGTCTCAAATTGCACATCTAAAACTGGGAATGTGAGAAAAAAACTGTGCGCTGTTTTCACAGCTTAACAAGATTCTAGAAACTAACACTTTGCTTCAGCTAAACTGGGAATGCATTCGAGGTGAAAGCACTCCAAAAGCCTTCAGAGAGCGAGAGTCGTGTGAAGAGTCTCTCCTGATGTGACTGTGGAAGACAATACAGGTGCCTTTTAATGCCACAGGTAACCTCAATCACACACTTTCACTTCAGAGCCTCTCAGAGTGACAGACTGAGATGTTCTACAGTCTGACGGCCCTTCATCAGGAGCCAGAGACCCATACAGTATGGGTTATTTTGTCAAAACTTACGGCAACACATTATAAAAACATAAAAAAGGGTAATCCAGATTTTTTGTGCTGATTGTGAGGGAAGGTCTGAAGAATGGATCTAAATATGGAAAATATGTTAAAGGCATAGTTCACCCCAAAATTAAAATCTTGTAATCATTTACTCACCCTCATGTCGCTGTAAAACGTACTTATGTTCTGTGAAACACTAAATGAAATAGAAAAATGTCTCAAAAACAACGGAAACATTTTTCAAAATATCTTCTTTTGTGTTCCATAGAAGACAGAACGACATGAGAGTGAGTAAACAGTGAACATTTAAATTTTTGGTTGAACTATTCCTTTAAAGGAATTTATCATTTTTACATTTATACTTATTGTACACCATCTAGGCACCTTAATCACACTATAATTTGAGATGTGCTAATTCTAATCTTGCATACATATAAGGACATATAGCACACAAACTGTGAGCCTATTTGCTCATTTCCTACCTACTATGACAGATTTGCAAGTAGACATTTTTACATACAGATAACAGACTTGTCTGTCCTCCTGTTATCTAGCAATGTCTACAAGTGACACGTTACTTCATTTACTTCATCCTTAAGGACATATATATATGTGTGTGTTGTGTGTCCTGAGATGAAATGAGAATTCCTGAATGTTCACAAATTGCCTTACACAGCTGATTTTATTTATGAGGACATGTCTTCTGTAGTTCATTAATTACCAGCTGGACTTCGCAGGACAGATGGGACTCATAAAAGAATCTTGGAGTTATGACTTGTAGTGTTACATTTAGGATGGAAGATGGAATGTTAAACGGAATCATCTTCTATTAAGAGAACAGAATTGTTTTAAATCTATACAGGATGAAGTTTGTGACACAAAAATTAGTGTTTATCAGTATTTATCAATTTGAATCAGTTAGGAAAGTGTCAATATTACAAATAAATAAATAATAACTGTACATTTGATAGTGGGAGACATCAAAATGTCTTTTATTTTGTTAAGTGATAAAATAAAAAGATAACCATTCCCACATCATTCCGTTTCACTCAATTTATTGCTATGTTAATTAAAAAGACTAAAATATAAAACATTTAAAACTGTGATTCTGTTCATATTGAAATATTTATGTAGTGTTATAATTTGACTAGGTAGAAACTACATTTATATGTGTGTAATGGTGTGTGACAGTACAATAAAAAAAAAAAATCATTTATTTTCCCAACAGATCCAATGAAGCCATATCTCAGTGTGCTAAAATCAAAGTGACTGCATCTCAAATGCATTTCAACATTTAATTCAGTTAGATTCAAGTTTTGGTTCCATTAACCATTCTTTTAAACATTTGGAGAGTAATAAATTGAATTCTATTACCAAGTAATGAGGTAATTTCAGTAATGTATAAAAAAATCTTGCAACAAAATGTGTTTACACAGACTTTTTATGATCAAGTCTTTTTGGAGAATAAATTTATTTTAACAATTGGCCTATGTATTAAACAACAATACCATCCAAACAAATATGTGACCACTATTTCCATCTATTAAATATACATAAAACTATGCTGAAATATGAACAACCGGTCAGCAACTCTCATTGTAGATTCATCTGCAGAAGAATAAAAGTATGATAACTTAATTAATCAAATCAAGTGTATGGTTATCAACTGGTTTTCTTTTCTGGTCTTTTCCAACCCCAATACATATATTGTAGTATGAAACTGAAAGTAGTATAAGTCTGGGTAATTACATTCAAATGAATGCTGCAAAATCAGAACAAGTACGCTTAAAGTCCCGACTGAGCGACAAAATTGACAAGCTCATAATTTGTCTTTTAATGAAGTGAAGACTGATAAACTATTGTTCTCTGCTTTTCTAATTCTGCTGAGTAGTGTTTGATTCCAGAGCATATTTACAAATGCTTTCTTGGTGCCAATTTGAGCTGAAGGTTCAATCAATAAAGTTATGAGAGTTACGCATGTAACTGAAAGTCTCAAACAATAAGAAGCTCAACACAAATGGATTCAAAATATTGAATACAGGGCTTTCAAATATAACAACCATTCAGTGAACCAAGTAATGAAAACCATGAGACAAATGAAAGCAAACAGCCCCACACATCACTTGACTTGGCCTCCACAACAGAACTGTAAACATGCTAATATCTGCTAATTGAAAATTATAGTTAATAAATCTTTCACTTTCTTACTCTCTCAGTAGTGAATATTAAATGTGTTGCTCTAGAAAGGGTTGCTGTTACTTTTACTCTGTATTCAGTGCTTAAAACGTGCCTTAATGAGACAGAATATCAGTATCTCACCTATAGGTCACCAGCCAGAATCATGGGTTTCACTGCCTATATATATTTGTCCAGTATACAATGTTCATTTGAACTCTCTAACTAAACTGATGTATACTAGGCACTCAAGCTCACACTGTGTGACAAATAAAGACATGATC